AAGCCACTCTGTAGTGGTTTCAAAAGAATAAAGTGAATGGTCTGGAGTGGCCCAGTCAAAGTCCTGACTTGAATTCAATAGAAAATCTATGGAGAGACTTGAAGATTGCAGTCCATCAACGATCCCCAACGAACTTCTCAAAATTTGAGCAATTTTGCCAAGAAGAATGGGTAATGATTGCACCATCCCATTGTGCAGTGCTGTAAAAGACCGATCCAAAACGACAACAGTAATTATTGCTAAATGTGCTTCCATGAAGTACTGATTTTGGGGGCTTAATACTTATGCAATCAGCAAAATTCAATTTATATATTTTCTTTGCAGGTTTTGCTGACATTCAACCTTCTTCACACATAACAGTGTTACGTTTAATCATTAGAATTTGGAATAAAAACAAGTTCATTAATTTTTTTGTACATTATTTGTATTTCATCAAAATATGACATTATTGGTAGGGGTGAATATTTTTGCAGAACACTGTATATAAAGATTAGTGAACATAAATAAAATATTGCTCAAGCTATAAAAGTAGGAGGATAATTCAGAGCAATAATAACAACAAACCTAACAACTAATTTGCGATGTTTATAAATTTTTATTATGCAAATCACACAAAAGCTCTAAAAACTGGTTTAGTTTGTTTCTAGTAATCGCGCAAAGCTATACAAGGACTAACTTTGCTAGCCGTTCCTAATTTTTGAACTGGCAGACTCGAAAGAAGGCAGCTAGTCAACAGCGCCCACCGCCAACTCTCAAACTATTCTAATCGAATATTTAGACTTAACAGTTACTATAGTTTTAAATATAAGTATAATTTACATATGGGTTCAAATATCATTGAGTAGAGAACATATATAGATTGATTTAGCGCAGAGTCACACTGTCCAAGCAGGGAATTGAACCCTGAGTTTTGGCCTTGCAAGTCCGTAAATTTATCGCTGACCCACCTAGGGACATTTATAGATATGATTCATAGCTTTAAATATTTAATTCTATGTTTTCTTCTGGTTTATTAAACTGAACGAAGGTATTTGTTGTATTTTTTTCTGTTAATTTCACAAAAAAATCTCCAATGTGTTGGTGATTTCTTTGAAAATATTTTGAGACGAAATATCTATTAACGAATGTACTTTATTTAACTCTTATCCTATACTTTATACCTGAAATACACACAAAAAACATTGACCACAGAACTAAGACAATATCAGTTCAAAAAGAAACTTTCAACAATCACACACAATTTTATTAATTACCCGATGTTTTTCTGAGAATAACTAGTTATTTTTTGTGGGTTTGATTTTTAAAATATATGTTATGTATAGATATATGACGATACGAAGCGCTTAGGAAATTCCATGTGTGCATTGTAAGGTAATAAAGTAGTTTTTGTCGTTGGTGTCTGTGGACACAAATTACAACATCGAGATTTGTCCTTACCAAAGACAATTTGTATTCATAAAGAACTACCTAAATGAAAACTTTAAGTTACTGATTAGATACAATAGTAATTTTATTTCTGTAGTTAGCTTTTTTGTTTGTATTTAATGAGTGAAACAAAAGGATAATTACGTCAGGTTTCGGTCAGGAAAATTTTGTTTCGTGAAGTAATTTCATTTGTGATCAATTGTGCGGACTTCGTAACTGAAGTAAGATCGTAAAGTTTGTTACACAGTAAAAACGAACAAACAAAGACTCTAATTTATCTTGGAATAGTATTTGGTCATTTGAGACACAGACTTGAAATTGGGTAGACACATAACGAAATCACTCCTATTCTTCTAATCTGATTCCTGATAAATTAAACCTTGAGGGAAATGGAAGTTGGTATCTCTAGAGAAAACACGGTGCTTCTTGTATACTTCTAACATATTATTTTGTCTACTAAAAGCTACATGCTAGAAACCAGTTTATTTTTTATTTTCTGAATAATCTTTAAAAGTCCCTCAAAGTATAGAAGCAGAAATGACGACCATGAAAAAATAAAAAAAGACGTGTTTTTGATTATTTTTATTTTATTTTTTTTGCAAATCACAACAGGCTCTACGATTAAAATTTAATTGTATGACTGTGATAAATACATTATTGAAGAAAAACCCATATTTTTTAACCTAACTTTTTATTCAACTTATAATTGGCTTGATTTAATTAATTGTTTTTTTAATTTGAAATAAAACAAAACTTCTCTAATTTAATTTATTTGGGATACTTCTTGAAAGCGAAATTACTGAAACTAAGTGTCTGAATTCGTTAAAGAGTTCATAAGACATCGCCTAGGATGTTACTATTTTACGAATACTCAAAAACATTCAAATAACACATCTAAATAGCTTTAAGTTTCTACTCTTTTAAAAATAAAACACGAACAGCATGAAAGAACTAACTGATAGCAGTTTAAAAGTGAACCAAAGTTTAAGCACCCCCCCCCCCAGTATATTAACAGTAAGTATGAAAGCTTATAACGCTAAAAATCTGATTTCGATACCAGTGGTTGATACAATACAGATAGCCCATTATGTAGCTTTGTGCTTAACTACAAACAAATGAAAGTTTAAATATTTTATATCCTTATTTTAATGGGGTTTCAATTCTTATAGAATCAATTTCTCTATAATTCAATGTTTCCTAACCGATGGAAGAAAAAAAAATATTGTAAGGGATTCGATTTGCGTGAAATTTATAATCTGTACATGCATTAGTAATAGATGAAAAGTGTTCTTTCCCTTTTAGTTCACTGTACGATGAGTGAGTCTCACAACTTTCACTTTATAGCTTCTTTTAGAAGCTAAATTAGGAAACAACACCATAAGCCTATATGTTACTAACAGTTTGTAAGCAATTTACAAAGATTTTGTGTTCTTTGGAGAGAAAAAAGGGGCTCTACTGCTTTGTGTCATTCTGAAATAACAAAAGAAATTAAAAACGTCTTCGATTTTTTTCCAGAAATGACTTAGGTAGTGAAAATTGATTTGTATTAATTAATTTCAAAATAAACGTGAACGGCCGAACGTATCAACATACAATATTCAGGAAATTCAAGCTTTTGTGATAATGCTGTAGAGTCAAGAAGTATTAAGCATTTAGAAATACGAAGACTAAAATTTAACACTATTCGGCGGTTTTATTTTTGTATACGCAGCTTTAGCACTTTGTATTAAAACGATTTCACAGCCTCACCAAGTCTTTACAGCCCATGCTCTATCTGACGACCGTGCACGTTGATAATAGCCCTACAGCGTAATTTTCATTGCATACGCTCCGTCGTAAAGCTAAGTTTGTCATGTAAAACGCACACCACTGTTCCCTGCAGGCCTCATATGGAATACCATAAATTGCCGTTTTATTCTCCAGTAGTATGTGTACACATGATTTGCTTCGCTTTTCCAGATGGAAATCCTTTTTGATTATGTTACATACTGTTACACGAGGCAGATGGACAGCTTTTGCCACTAACTTTTGTGTTCGTGGATTCTTGCCTGCTACAAGACGCAAGACTTTACGTACAACGGCTGGAACACGACTTGTTGGGGTTTCTTTTTGGATGATCCTGGCACCCTAAGTTAATCCATATTCCTTTGTTCACCAATGCCATGAAGAACGATAGATATCCTTCTCCTGAAAATTCTAAATTCCCGATCTGAAAATATCTTTATGGTCCAAGTTTATGAATATTTTGTGTCGGAAAGGTCTATTATAAATCCTTCCTAAAAGTGATTAATTTTGATACATGTCGTTTCCACCGTGCTATTATACTGGTTGTGGTTATAATGAACTACTGATTTGCATATCCAAAAACGTTTTAAAATAACGTACTTAACCCTCTTTATAATACACAACGAGAAAAAGTTAATATTTATTAAATAAATGTTTTGCTCACAATTCTTCAAATATGAAGATACTTTATTTAAAGATTTTACGGAACAACTAGCGTAACATGTTTTCTAAAGTTTATATTGTATGTCACACCAAATATTTTGGTACGTTACGCATTATATCTGCTGTTGATAACTAGAAATTTACCTTAATGTCTCGCCAACGAATCTAAATGTTATTTAAGTTTTCATTAGTAATTTCAATAATTTGCATCAGTGTGATAACAAAAAAACACGCGTAAAAATACTACATTTCTAGAATATACGTTAAAGCCTCGAAATGATAGTAACGCCCCTAAGATAACTTGATGGCGTCTTAAAATTTTTATGTATTGTGCAAAAGTTTTGATAGATTGAAACCTAGAAACCATGATGATATACGGAGACATATAACTACCATTCTGTGAGGAATTGATACCTTACACGTATTTATAGATAGTTTCCAATCACGAAACAACAATGATATATGACTTCAGCATGGCATTCCAGGCTACCTCGGTGTCTTAACCATAGCTCTCGGCAGTCTCAAATGTATAAACAACAATATTGCCTAAATGCCAAAGTTTGTTGTCTTGATCTTTTACACGTATATAAAAATGGTTTTCAATCTGGAGAAAAATGATGACAACACAATACTTCAAAAGACATTTCAGCCTTCTAAATACAAAGTCTTCTAAACTGGCCGATATCGTGAGACGTTAGTGGGATTACGGCCGAAAATATGCTTAACAGCGTGAGTGTCTAATCGATGTTTCAGAGTTTTGGCGAGTTGGTTTGTAACATTAAACATTTATAGCCAGTTTTTTTATCCCGAGTTGTTTTCAATAATGCATATGCTGTTTTTAAAATATTTTAGTTTGAATCTATAAGAAGTTCCTCATAAATAGTTCTTTATAGTTTGGAATCTGGAAACTGAACTTAGACTTTCGTAAGAGATAAATTATTCTTAGTGTTCATTTGTTTCAAAATATTTTATATAAAGGAGATAGGAAGAAAAAACATTTTTTGTGAATATTACAATATAAGTTAATTAGTCACTAAAATGTTTAACGTGGTTGGAAACAACTGTAACCAACAGATGGCGCTACTATTTGTATGCTTTATAATTATAAGTTTATTCTGTTACAAAAGTACAAAAACAAAACAACAACAAAGAAGATATACAACTATATTTTCTAATAAAAAGCGGGTGCTCAGACATTTTGAATGGAGCACATTGTATAAATGTAAGAGCCATTTATGGAGAATTTCACATTTTATACAAATAAAAACAAAGCAACACATCGAGGGTTTACATAGCACACTAGCTGACATTGAGTTTGGCATTTACCACCTTAGGTTGCGGTGGCTATGTTATTCAGAGCTCTCATAGATTAAAAACTAAAGAAAGAAAGAAAATCACAAAGAGGAGCTTAGACCTCTTATTATCTAAAATAATGCTACGTATTTATTTTTCTTTTGGAGAACATAAGAACGTGAAAGAGTTTCACAGTTGAAAAATTGTTTAGTATAAAATAATATACCAGTAAATTCCAATTGATCGTGCTGTTCTTGTTAAATTAAAGCTAGCACTGAATTCATCGTAAAAAATGACCCATTGAGTTATTTTAAGTTTCAAAACAATATTACTAATGTGGTAATGACATATATTTTCATATCCATAAGCAGTTTCAGTATATTTTTATACAGAAAAATAAATTTTATAACTTCATGTTCACAATTACTTGCATACACTGAACAAATTATCTTTTAACTCCATATTGTATATAGTGATAAAATGTATGATAACTGAAACAAATTAACGCAACTTAGATGTATGTAAGAAACATCGCCAATCAATAACAGTATTAATGATATGGTATAAGCAACGAAGTAATTTAGTTTTGAGTTATTCAAACATATTCAGTTATAGTCTCCCAATAGAACAAAATTTTATTGATAAAAAATTAGAAAAAAAACAACACTCATTGCACAAATGCTAACTATCTTTTGTCATTCTGGATTGAATTTTTTGACTATGCATTGAAGTTATGGTTAAGTTATAATCAGAAAATAACATATCGGGAATGCAAAAAAAGTTAAAATTCAAACTAGATATTTGCCAAAAGCATAAGCTCCTGGTGTGACAAAAATACAACTAAAATATAACTAGTGAAAGTAGATTAAAAGTAATCGAAAGTCGGTATACAAATGTACACGTAAGTACCGCTCTTATTTACTCAAAATCACGTATGTGATATATAGAGAAAGATAGTCATAAATATACGAACCAATTTTCTATTGCAATGATTCAATCATTCTGGTAATTCCAAATATGTATATAAGTACAAACGTTTTTTAGACGTTGTTAAGGGTTTGTATATACATATATTATGTAAATGATGCACATACAGACAGAAAAGTAATGTTCTATTATAGATACAGCATAAAATCTAAGTACGATCTCTTGATATTTGTTAGGAACTGAGTATTTGTATTTAAAAATTATCTAATATTTAGAGAGATAAAATGTTGAATTTAAGACATATATATTCATATGTGATATAATTTTAATTTTTTATATACAGACACATACCATTTACATCCACGAATCAGCGTTCGTAATCCGTACATAAATATGAGACTAAGAGATATGAGCATATACATACATACCAAGTAAGATACACTGAATTAAGAGCAACTTAACCGGAAAACCTATTAGCTTTATATGTACAATTAAGCGTTTTATTATTTACACAGTTTATCAGGTTGTACAAGCGCTTTGGCTAATGACAGAGAACACAAATTGTCAAACTGTTTTTATTTCATTCTAAAGACTTAGAATAAGATACTCTGTTGACTAGTAGCAAAACTATCGTCCTTATTAGTTGTTTTTTATTTTAATCAAAAAGGTCTAAAGATATTATTCAGGATGTTTTCACAAATTTTGTGTACTATGCACGAGAGTAACTAGTTTAATAAAGAATTATGGGTAATTGTTCTCATACTGATACCCCTATTAATGTAATTCAATGTGAAATAATAAATTATGCTTGAAAATTAACCTTTTCAATTACATTTTTATTTCGCTTTTCGCAGATACCAGATATAATTTAAAGTGTTTTTGATATTCGTAAACATTATCTATTTAATGAAGTAAAACACAGAATCTTCAACAACTTACATGGTTAGTGACACAAGAAAGTATAAATGTAAGATTGAAGAAATCTAATGACTAAAACATTTTTATTGAGTCTCAGCCTGTTCTTGCTTGACGGTGCACATGATGTTAGGTTTTTCATCATACTATTAATTATGATAACCCAATATTTGTTGAAAAAAATCAGTTCATTTGTATTATTCCATCACGCAAGAAGAGGTTGATTTCGTTTTAGTGAAACGGGAAGTCACACTCTACACAAAACAAAAGGAATAAACTTTTATTAAAGATATTGCAAATAAATCGATTAACAATGTACTCAGCTATCAATAAAGGACATATAGACTTTATCTCAATGTCCGAATCAAAGTCATAGCTTTTCAGGTATAACTATGGAACAAATTTTAAGAACACGTTAAACTTGAAGTTTACATTCAAGTCCAATGTTATTCTTTCTGAAAATTTCGGAAATCAACTTCAGTACTACTTTCCTAATTAAAGATGCAAGTATTCGTTCGGAAGTGTTTGTGGGGAAAGTGGGGTTTATGGAGTGTTATTTCGCTCACATCTGATAACTGCTCTTCTGGTGGGATTATATACATGAAACAAAGCTATAGAATAATTCTGAAATTTACTTTCAAGTATAAAACTTAGTGTTTCTGACGGAACTATGAGCAGTAAACGAGGCATCAAATTCTTGTGCTTCCTCTTTGATTTAAGACTCAGTTTTTCTTGCATAATTACAGATGAGAAAAAATATTATGAAAAAACTTTAAGCACTGACCTCTGGTATAAAATAAAGATCATACAATAGAATAATATGAAAAAACGAGATTACAAATCACTTTTAATGTTAACTTCGGGCATTAACAAGAACTTTTCTTCATGAAAGTGAGATTAAACATTTGAAGCTCAGATTTTTGGGATTAAGATGCCCTTTTAGCAATGGAACAAGATCTTTAGCATTAACCGTCTGGATTAAATTATTGTTTTCTTTCTCACACTACATGCATGACCTTACTTTAGAAACACGAACTTATAGGATTAAAATAATCTTTCTCGTGTAAATACAGAAGAAAAGAGAGGTTAGTAAATTCACTTTTAAATAGCATTGAAACCAATGATGTATCTAGCTGGAAAGATTTGAACTTTTTTTTTAAATTAGAAAAGGGTGCAGATATAGGAGACAAAAAATACGGTCGACAAACCCACTTACCTACATTTGTATAAAACGGCATTTCTAGCTCTCACAATGAATGTCTCCGAACTTTTTAAAATCTTACATTTTCTCCTCCTTGTAACAGTCTTATAGGAATGTTACAAATGAAACATGTCAGTTTGTTATTTTATATCACCCCAGTGCAATCGTTATTCAGAAACGATCAGGATGTCCTTGCAAAGGTAAGCCTATTACACTCATTTCTCAACTTTACACGTTTTTTATTTAAAAGACGCCGGTGGTTCAGCGGTAAGCTTGAGGGCTTATAACGTTAAACATTGGGATTCAATACCCACTATGTACACAGATAGCCCATTCTACAGCTTTGAGATTAAACACAAACAACGAAACTAATTTAAAAATGTCTTATTTTCTGGTTTCTATTCTTTCACATAACCTATCTTGTTTATCCCAGTCTATTTACACGTTTCTCTTAGTCAACCATATCGATTGCTTTCTTTTTAACAATTATAATTTATTTTTAATTCATCACTCTACAAACTATTTTGAGATTCTTTTCTTGCTCTGACCATCACGAGTTACTTTAAACTTAATTTCATCTTATTATAGATATGGTCATCGTGCCGTTGTCACTTTTGTTTTCTCTTCTGATATTTGTTTTACAGTGTTAGGGTATTCTTTTCTTGTGGATCCATCGACTGTTGGTTGAAATTTGTCTGATTAGCTGAGTTGCTGGAAGCCAGTTCCAACCGCGTGCTCTATCGTTTATATTAGTCGAATTAAGCTAATATATTTCATATTACTCTTTGGTATTTTCCGCACTCTTAACCTCTTTACGACAACCTCTGAAGCAATTGTGTTTGTAGGTTAGGGTCAGTTCCAGGTTTTTTGAGAACCTTTAGGTTGGGACTTTAGGAAATAAATACTACGTTAGAAATATTCAGTATACTGAGAATATTCCAGAAGCTTTTTGAATTTTTAAAACTTAATTCCAGCATATAAAACGCATTGGCTAGTCCTAAGGTTCCATGCAGCGTCATTTCAGTACACGATCAGAGCTGGCCCTGATGTGTTTTGTCACTCTGTTTAAATTATAATAAAGATCATTTAATTGTTTTTCTTTACATTATTTGTTATACTGTTTCTGTTTTTTAAGCAAACAAAAAGAAATGGCTAAGAAAATGATTATTTCCTATTTAACTATGAGAATAATTTCCGTTTGTTTAGAGATGAATAAAGCCTTCAGAAAGTTTATTTTAAAGTAAAATAAAAGTCTATGGGAAAGTAATAGATCAAGAAAATATACAACTAAGAACTGGTGTCTAGTATTCTATTGTGTTAAGTTTAAGTTTATTTACATTTGTTCCGCTTAAAAGTTATAAACATTATCTAGTACATTTTAAAGATCATTTCGACAAGTGAAATAGGAAAGAAATGATTTACTTACCATAGAAAACTAATTAGTGTAGAGATAAATTCTAAATTCAAGGTAGAAAATATTAGCTTGGTACGTAGGCATTTTATAGGTAAGACTTAGAAAAATCTAGGACTTTCAAATTATTTAAAACTACCAAGAAATGACAGTGAGTCAATTATGATAATTAAAATAAGGCTTAACTTTAATCATATTTAAAATGACGTGTTTAGACCACTGTCCAACAATACGGCATCTTGTTTGCTACAAAATTCCAACAACTTGGGGTCTTTCCGACAAAAGTGACAAATATCATATCTTCGAATACGTTTATGTACTTTCACAAAACTCTTGAACTTGAGGAACAAACCCACAACAGTCAGGAGCTCAAGAGTAATATACAGTTTGAGCTAAGCGGTCAAATAACGCTCCAGATTACAGGAAAGTGTTTGCTTGAAGGATGAACATGCAAAACTACAGAATTCTTTAAAATGTTAGAGTTGAAAGATCCTGTGTGTGTGATTATTATATTGGTTTTTGCTTAGAAGAGTAAATGAAATAAACTAAAATATACAAACTTCTATGTATAGAAACGTACATTTACACCCTTCAACAGTACGAGTACTTTCACAACCCTAAATGATGCCCATCGTCCTAAAATATGAGGATTGTTTAGGTAAACACAACTCTAGTTACACGTCTCCGAAACACAAAGCACAACCTATAGTCAGTCATTGGTGGTACTCTGTATTCTCGGTAGACAAAATAGTTGCATATTTTTACTGATATTTATTTCTTATCTATTATTGACACAAAACTTCATTCTTTGATGTTATTGTTCCATTTGTTTCTGAGTAAATTATAGCTAGTGTATGAACACCCAAACCAGGGTTAAAACTCAACCATCTATAAAATAATATATGAAATCTATAATTAACATATTTTACATTTTTGCTAATTCATAATCTTATAAAATTGTGTGTAAAAAAAAGATTTGGCTATAGCATAATTGATTGTGTTTCGCAAAAATGCTTTCCACTCTTGAAATTTCCTTTTGGCCACACTGTTGCAGAGAAAAAAGAAAAGTTGGTAAACCAACGTGGGTTACGAGGAAAATGGCTACCTCCAGTCCTTCCTATTAAGGTTCTAGCTATGGTTTAATATGATGTTATCAAAGGAAGCGAGACGAGGTGAATGGCTAGCTTATGAAGGGAGTGAAGCTACTGCAAAGTTTCTAATTGTCGTGGAAGAGTCGAATGAGAATAGGAATAGCAAAAGTAGCAAGAAGAAGAAGACGTGAGAATTCCCCGCTAGTATCTGCGCTGTTGACACACTCTGAACTTGAATTGGCAAGTGAGCCTGTATAGAAAAAAAGAAAATGGAAACAGTTTGTGAATTTTCATCGGTATCCCTAATAGATAATAGACAAACACACACACACACACACACACTTAAACGTAAAACAATAATGTATTTATAGAATTAAAATAATTCTTTGCTTAAAGAAAAACATTCAGTGCTAACTGTCCTGTGAATGAGTAAAATAGGTAGAAAAAGTAAACGAACATAAATAACTTAGATGCAGGAACTAAAATAAAGAGCCATACTACTTAAAGATTGTGCTAGATGCTATAAAAGTTTCATTTACTCTGAAAGAAGTGTTTAGACTAATCATGCTGCTCTGACCTAACCTGACGATATACTATATCCATCTGATATCATTTTTGATCTGACGATATACTTTATCCACCCTACAGTACACTCAATCCTCCAGATATTTCTTTTGACCTCACAATGCACATTTAATCTGACGATAGACTATCTACTCCATACCACTTTTTACTCTTGCCACCTTTTATCTCTTTTAACCCAACAATATATTATATACATCTGATAATACTTTTACCCTGACAGTATAACATATCTACCTGATATCACTTTTAACCTGGAAATATGCTGTATTTACTTGATATAACTTTAACCTTTAAATCACACATCTGCACGCCACGTAATACCCTTCCTCTGATAATGTTTACAATCAGCGTATATCTGCACGTTTTGGAACACTCATCATGGGAAAATGTTTACTATCAATGTGTTATGAGGTTAGATGTAAGGAATGTTGTTTGAAGTTGGGAGAAACTATAAAGCCAACAGCCTTTGGTCAGTCTAAAAATTAGTATATTATAGTATTCTAAATCATTTGAAAATAATTGAAGTGAGCAGATTAGCAGCCGCCTTTCTAGGTTCAGACCGTACAAAAACCCCTATTGTTATGAAATGTTATAATTCAATATAAGAAACAGGTGCAAGGTTGGAAAGAAAGATACAGTTCGGTGTATGTCTGAGAAAGGAATATAAAAAAAGGATTTCAACAAAAAGTATAAAAACATCGGGAAATGTGAGAGAGAAGGAATAAGCTGTAAGAGGCAAAGGAAGAAAGTAATCTTGTCAGTGAGAAACAAAACCTATTTCTATGTCTATGTGTTATTGAATGCCAGTAATAAACATTAATTTGTTATGCTTACATTGGTACAAGTCAATTCTTGGTAGGAATAAGTACAATCTAAATAAAGTTAATGAACACTGAAAGGTAAAGCGAAATGCGAGAATAGCATAATCATAACAAACGTAAGCCTGCATGTTTTGTAATACTTGAAAATACTAACTGTAGTAAGGAATAAAATACTATATCGGAGGTACTAATTTTAAATAAAATTGAGTGTAAAGTTCAAACTCTTTATAAACTCACTATATTTAAAACATATTTTCAGTTCCAAAATTTACTTTTTATTCCACGCAATATTTTTGACATTGTATTTTTACAATGTATATTGTATTGAGTTTTTAGAGAATCATTTAACTTGGTGAAATTAGTGCCCGATATAGAAGGAATGCTATGTTGTATACAAATAAATTTCTTACAAACAACGATGCCCCCAGTGGCATAGTGGTATGTCTGCGGACTTACAACGCTAGCATCTGGGTTTCGATACCCATGGTGGGCAGCGCATTGTGTATCTTTGTGCTTAATTACAAACAAACACACAACAACAGTGTAGTACAATTCATTGATATCTTTGAAAGAAACCATGAACAGCATTAAATTTATTTTTGTTTTATGTATTTCTTTTGATACTTTCTCGATTTGTTCTTGAAATAGCACTACAATAGAATGTGCGGCACAACATGGTGTGCAATTTTAGGTAACCTGAGGGTTTACTCTGAAGCTTTAAGATCCCATAAATATAATTTCTGTTTGTTAAACAATTTTTTAAAATGTAATTTTGTGTTTGGCCATTTTTGAGTTGTAGAAATGTATTGCATCATGTTATTGAACATGGCAACCAAAACCTTAGTTGTCAGAAACAACTTTGTAATTTTTATTATTTCATTACGTTTTAAATAAGTTTTCATTTGACAGTTGAATACTGCATCTCAATCTATATTTATAGTCTTTATAGTTTTCTAGTACTTTTTTTAAGTTGGGACCAACGAATGGAACTAGTGCATTTTAAGTTATATTATTAAATAGTTTCATCTTGAGCTCCTTTTGATCGAACTCTTACACTACAATATTAATTACAGTATACGAGTGTATGTACAAATATTCGTTTTTATTATCAATTCGTTAGGAAGCTTCGTATACTTTCCGAAAGAGATAATAGTATTAACCAATGATATATGATACGTGGTCATCACTCGGCTTGTATTGGTTTAATGATCGGGTTATCTTGAATTTAATTATTGTGGTTATCTTGGTCTTGTACTATGCTAGCTACATAAACTTTGATCCTACTAAAATTTCAATCAGTTAACTCTTAAAGGAATACTATGCACTTAGATATGTATATGTGTGTACTAAAGTTAAAATATTAAACGTTGTATTTATTTCTGATTAACGCTTTGCGGAGTATTAACTTTGATGGTGAAAAACGTTACATGTTGTGTGTAATTTTATCTGTATGTATATGGTGGTCATATATAATTTAAGGTAAAGCAGAAATGTTTTGTTTCAAAGATATAATAATGTCATCAGTATAGCTCAAACTATGAAAAAGGCTACGCAACTGAGAATAATACTACAATTTTCCATTATTTTTTGATAAGTTTCGGTAAATGTCTTTTAAGCAGTATTTTCAACTAATTCAATAAGCAAATCACACAAATTATACAATACCCCATACTGTATTTTAGCGTTAGTGTCGGGGAAAATCTTCGTACCTTTTCATGAAAATACGAATAATAATTTTTTATATTATTTTCTATTTCATGAAACTATATGATAGCTTTGCCAAAGGTTTTGCAGAGACTTTCTGTAAAAAACGAAGATGAACAAATATTTTCTAACATAAAAGAATAGAATTCACAACCTTTAAGGACATTTAGGTTTGTTTTTCTCTTCGGTGACATACCAACAAAATCCACTTACAATGTGGATTAGTAGATGGTTGAAAGATTTGTTTGTTTGTTTTTAATTTCGCGCAAAGCTACACGAGGGCTAACTGCGTTAGCCGTCCCTAATTTAGGAGTGTAAGACTAGAGGGAAAGCAGCTAGTTATCACCACCCAAAGTCAATTCTTGGGCTACTCTTTTACCAACGAATAGTGGGGTTGACCGTACACATTATAATGCCCCCATGGCTGAAAGGGCGAGCATGTTTGGTGGGACGGGAATTCGAAAGCACGACCCGCAGATTGCGAGTCGAGCGCCTTAACCACCTGGCCATGCCAGGCCCATAAAAAAAGAGAAAATAATTTAGCCAAAATACATCTTAGACCAGCTGAGCTCCTGGAGCCTGGAAGTTCCAATATTGAATTTTGAAATCGAAGTTTGGTCAAATACCCAAATAATGTAAAATTGCCTTTTTTAGCTTGTAACACTGAGTTAGATTCCAAGTTTTTTTAAGCGATATTCGTAAGTTTAAAGATAAAAACGGCGCTCATTCTGCATTCCAACTAAATTCATATGATATGGATTTCAAAGGAAATTCAATAATTTGAGGAAAGCCTGACTTGACGTGGAATATCAATATACAAAACAGGGAGATATATAACAATCAGACCCAAAATTTCAAACTTACAACGGATTGAGCGATAGAAATGTGATGGAAAGTATTTGTAGCTACAAATGATTTTAATAAATTTTTGGTCTAATACTTAAAGGTTATTTCGTTGTAGTACTATTTCAGTTTAAGTATTTTGTTTGAATGGATGATGCATTTTAAACACTTAAATAGGTAAAATAAACTTTGAATACGGAGATAAAAGTGGGAAATGTTTGGTAATAAGTAACTGTATATCTCCTAGAAGAAAACACAATATAATTGATATATAGTAGAGTTGGGAATATGGATATTAAAAACTTTTATTTATTTTTTAACTAAAAGTTTTTAATACCCATATTAACCATCTCTACTATATATATATATTTACTTCAAGTGGGTTTATCGTCATCATGAGTAATCTAATTGACCAATTAGATCTATTTTAGTAGATATTCAGTATTAAGAAATCGAAAGTTAAATATTGATCTAGAATTAGTAACACACGCTTAGAACGTAACTTGTACTAACCTGTATTATTCATTAACTGAGGTAGGTAGTGCTGCCAGAAAGCGCAGTATTCTGCTCGTGGCCCCCGGTTAATTTTAGGAGACTGCACACTCAGGGTCAAGTACTCCTTCCCACCTTCGGTTCGAGTGACCCAATAAGCTTCGTCCCTAGTTCCAGCGTTTTCCGTGTTAGGATTTCTAAGGGTATGACATATTTTTTTATGAACTTCGATATGTAATTTTTTTTTTTATAACAATTGATAAGAGTCACAAAATGATATCTTATTGCCATTGACTTGCTAATGTTAGGCAGTAAACTAACATAAGAGAAATTACAGGTAATTCAATGTTTAATGTACTTTATTTGAAAATTTTCTTAATTAAACTAAATTAACAACAAAAGAAGCATTAATAATCTTCTCCCTACTGTTTCGTGGCTTTTACACGATAAGCAATGGAACTGCAGTAAACCTACAACGTTTACTTTATATACACTCTACTATATACACACACTTGGCTTACATTGTTTCCTATAAATTCCGATCGCGGTATTAGGTAGATACTTTCAAGAACATTCAAGTAAAATCTTAAGACAACTGAACAAAGAAAAACTGAATAAAACTAAAAATTATTAACCCAAATAAAAATTATTTTGATACACTAAAGATTAAAAAGTTAGTGCAGCACTTAATAATATACTGTACAACAAACAAACGAGAAAAAATAATAATTTGTGTTAGCATGCTCTCCTGAACTTTTCTTTCATTAAAGATAAAAAAACAAAAACAAAAAACTATACACCCAACTGCAGCCGACATAAATAACGATGCCACATTGGTTAGCATGATGTAACACAAACGCATTACTTTTCACGAGATCTCTTGGTAGTACAGCTGTAAGTTTCTGGAGTTGCAACCCTAAAATCCGGTGTTCGATTCCCTCGATGGACGCAGAAAGTAACCCCATATAGCTTTGTTATAAAACAAACGAAAAGCACTTACGAGCCTGAGGGCAGACCAGGAGATAGTTAAATTTTTATTTTTGCAAAGTATAGAAATTTTAGGAAACTTGTCAATTCCAGATGTTCCACAGATTAAGTCCGACTGCATGAACTCACACTTTCTTACAAAAGGTAAATATAATACAACTTTTTTCATTTGAAGTTTCTTTGAATTTCGTTTTGTCTGCATTTAACAATATTTACAAAATAGCAGCAAAGAATTTATTTTCTGAAAACTTTAAAAAATAAAAGTCCGAAATATGTAATCAAATGAATTCAGGCTATTCCTCGGTGGCTCAGCGATAAGTCTGAGGGTTTATAACGCTAAAAACCTGGTCTTCGTGCTTAACAACAAACAAACAGCTATTCCTTAAAGAGGTAATAAATTTAAAAAATCTAGCTTATATCCATATTTTTTTCTGAAAAAAGTGCTATTACCAAACTGTAAAGAAATAAAAACAAACAACAACAGTATGAAAAACATTCATGAAAATCAGAGTTTTCCCTATCGAAAGGCGTTCAAGGAATACTTCAAAGATGACAGAATTCAATGTACTTTATGCCTGAAAAGTGTAATTAAAATAATTTGTATTTCCTCTCAACAAAAACCTTGAAATCTTTGATTGATTATCAACATAGCTGTGCTATTGTCTATCTATCTATCCTATATGAGGCTATTCTGACTTACCCTGATTTAGCAAAATTAGCCCAGTATCTCATAATTTTCTTGGATAAGAGTACTTCTTCCTTCGTATATCTTAAGGATGGGTTAAGAGGCTCACCAAAGACAAAGTTTATCTCATCTCCATGCATCACGCCCATCCATCGCGGCCAGGGGTTAACAGAAGATCGGTGGATGAAGTAGTACATATAAACCTCATTCCCAGCTTTAGCATAATGATGGGCAAATTCATTCACGCTACAAGTAAAGTGATAATCTCCTACGATCTTATCAATAGCATCTCGAATGTGAATGGAGCTGTTTGGATTCAGCCAATCAGTATATTGAAAAATAATGGCTTGTTGTGCTTCTTCTCCTATATAAGGGTTTAACTCTTTCACTGAGTTTGTAAAATCCTCTCTAGTTAGATAGACATCCTCATCCTTCTTGAAAAGTTCTGTCAGATAGTAAATGATCCAGTAAGTTCCTTCTTCTGAATTGCTTCCCAGGAGAACATTAGTTTTTTTAAAGTTCTTGGTAGCCAGCGACACAGTCGGATGCTCGTCAATGAAAGCCCCATCAACAACTGGAACAAAAGGGAAATCAATAACTCCCGAATTGCCTGATTCATTCACAACAAGATCCATAGGATCTACATTTCGGAGACAATTAACAACTGCATCTAAGTCTTGGGGATCATGTGGGCATTTGACAGCTTCAGCCAAGCGAAGCCCACGTTTCTCAGATTCCTTATGATCAATGATAGCCCATGGAGATGTTGCTGAGCCACTTTGTAAGATGGCTCGGTTGAAAAGGTTCCTACTAAGTGGAGATAAGAGATGGAGGCCTACGCTTGCAGCTCCAGCACTCTCACCGAACAACGTGATGTTGTTTGGGTCGCCTCCGAAGGCAGCGATGTTATCGTGCACCCATTCTAGAGCCATCAGTTGGTCGAATAATCCAGCATTGCCAGGTACATCTGAGCGACCGAAAAACAAGAATCCCAAAGAAGCCACTCTGTAATTCATTGAAACAACTATCATTTGTTCTTCAGTGGACAATATTTTAGCGTCGTATACGTTGAGAGTGGAAGTTCCGCTGTAGTAACCCCCACCAAATATCCACACCAGAACAGCAGCCTTCGTCGGTTTCTGGTGGGGCACCCAAACATTTAACTTTAAACAATCTTCACTTAAAGGAGTATTTGGATCCCACATTTTTGAACCCGAAAAATTTCCAAAAAAAGTATCACTGATCTGAAAGCATGTTTTAGGTTTCTCGGTAGCATTAAAAATGCCTTTCCATGGATCTATTGGCTTTGGATATCGAAATCTATATTCACCAACAGGAGGCTTCGCATAAGGAATGCCCAAATAGACATCGACCAGTTTGTCAGTGACTGTTTTTACTGTTTTCCCTCGTACTAAACCTTTATTAGTATGAATCAATGGGGTTTCTTCCAATCCTTGTAAAGGGGTGCTCCGTCCTAGGGTAAGCGTGATTAAGAAAGCCAAAATTGATATAACTAAGTGATAAATAGAAAGATACATTTCCCATCGGGACGTAGTGCAGGCTTTTCTTGTTAACAAGATCATAGTCTTACTTGATTTGAGAAATTCCTGGCCCTGCAAAAAACATAACAAAATAATAATTAGAAACTATTGAAACTGTGTGTTGATCTCGTGAAAATGCTTAGATTAAACCGCATGCTTAACTAAAAAGCTGTTAAGAGCTCGTGTTTCAGTGACATACCATTTACTTAAATACTTTTTTAATCGTTCTGTTTCCCTAAAATGAAATTTTTTATTTCATTTATCTTTATAGAAAAATAATTTTTCATAATATAAAAGTTCTGAGGAAACCCTGCCATATTTTAAACAATCTATACAGAGTGGGGCAAAATTTACAATACAGTTGGTACTATATGGTTAGTGTGGTTGGTACAAAAGAAAATATTACGAAGACAATCAACGCCAGTTTAATTAGTATTTATTTCAGACTTAGACGTTACAAATTTAACTATGCTCTAAATGATACAACTGTATAGTCATTTTGCTCCCACCCTGTAAATCTTTTGTTTAATCCATTTTTTTTATAAAATTAACTATAATAGAATAGCAATTCAAAGCATTTGAAATAGTTTCCAAACCATTTTTGATATAGTTTAAAAATATTGTGGTGTCACCAGCATATTGATTTAGTTTTAATTATTGGGATCATGTAAAGTGTAAAAGGTAGCGAAGTGGTCTTAAGTGAATTAAGCGCATGTGTAGAATCTCACCGGAATTGTTTAGGTTAGTTTTGATTGGGAATGTCTGTTTGAATTTATGCACAAAGCTACACAATAGGCTATCTGTGCTCTGCCCACCACGGTATCGAAACCCTGTTTCTTCGCGTTGTAAGTCCGTAGACATACCGCTGTGCCACTGGAGGGCTGATTGGAGATGATTCAGGTGTCACAGAGTTTTTCCCTGTGTACAGAAAGAAGGGAAAGAAGAATGCTTGAAACAATAAATAGTAATGGTGGTTGAATCTAGATTAATGATTATAAAATTAAATAAACAAAATATGAGTAGTAATATTAGGTACAATTAACGTAATATAAAGAAAGAATGTGATAAAATATTTTTGATTAAAAATGAATTGAAAATAAATAAAATAAAAGACAGATATTAATAATAGAAATAAAAGAAAAATAATTACAACGTAAAAGTTGTGTCCCAGCTGTATATTGAGCGAAACTCGTCGTTGTCAATGGATACGGCAGACATAGCTGAAATACTATTTACACTCTTCTTCTTCGTGAAAAACCCTAAAAGACTGAATAAAGAATGTAGCGCCAAAAAAACAAAATAGGTCTACTATTTATGTTTATTTTTGATCTCACAACGTTGTTCTTTATTGTTCACATGCGTTGAATTATTTGTTGATCGTGGTTGTTTTTGATAGGATTTGCTCAGTTGTTCGTTACCAGGATTTGTTGATTGTTTTCTCCAGGATATGCTGAACGTTTTACTTTAGATATTAAAAACTTATGTATCATTTCATCCTTTACACAGTACTCACGTGATCATGGTTAATACTAGCATAACAAAACGCACCTTTAAGTGTTCTACGGGTCATTTACTTACTGCTTATTGCCTTAACTATACTGAGCCCCCAGTGACACAGCGGTGTGTCTGCGGACTTACAACGTTAGAAACCGGGTTTCGATCCCCGTGGTGGGCAGAGTACAGATAGCCCATTGTGCCGCTTTGTGCTTAACTACAAACAAACAAAACAATACTAAAATGTTTGGTTGAAAAATGGTGTTTATGTTAGAGTTGGTTCAAAGTTTCAACTGTGACGGCCCTCACAGAAGCCACTTGTAATGACCAACATAGCTGGGTTTTGTATGGCATCGAGTAACTAGAATTTTATCAATACGTTGAATTGACATCCAACAGGGAATTCGGAGGCAGGCACTTTAAAAAGCGTACAGACAACAAACCACCTTATTGTTCGTGATTTTTTTTTTTCAGCTGTAGAGAAAATAAACAGCTGCCGCTTCCCACCAGCTGAATAGGTGCTGAACACACCCATTCGTTGGAACCATGTAGCTGGTCTATTACTTATGTCACTATTTCACATGCATAGGAATTGATTTAGTACTAGAACTCACTACAGTTTTCATTAGATTAGTCAACCTTATTGCCTACCTATCAGAGTTTCGACTTTTGATTTTTTATTCATTTTTCGTTACCGATGTCTCTTCATCTTTACATTGCTTTTTTAAACCCAGAATTAGACATGTGAAAACTTCTGCTGTATAGTTGAGCATTTGAAATGCGACACCCTACAAGCGAATGCAGGGGGTGCTTATTGTGCTAAAAATTATAAAATGTGTGAAAAGAGATAAAAACGGAGAATAAATGAATGTAGAAATTAGTCATTACCAAACACCGAAAGGCTTAAAGAGTAGTTAAGACTAGTGGTTCGAAAAGTACAGTGTGAGCTAAGCCTATTTCTTGCTTACTAATACAGGGAAATGTTTTCGTGGCTTAATGGTACGGATTTTATTTCTTAATCGTTTTGTTTTTCTCACAGATTTTAATTATGTCTGTGACGTTGTAAGTCCGTAGACTTACCCTTTTCCAATATCGGGGGTCCTTGATATTGGAAAGTTGTTGCTGATAACTTGGCACCATGTTAATCTATCAAGACTTCTGGTTACTGGCTCTTCATTAAAGACCAACATATAATTTTGAGTCTTATTTACCGTTGTCTATAAATATCGGAACAATAGCTGATATAATCTATTCTGATATTCAATCTTATAATTTGTTGGAGTATTTTTAATATATTAAGAGCCATATAATAAAGTAGTGTTAGTTTTGCTTTATGCATTCAAATCATTATAAAAAGCAATGATACTAAAAGATATTGTTTGTAATTAAGATAGGTAATACGTATTAACTTATAATCAGTATATATAATTTAGAAATTATTACCACTTTTTATGTTGTTATCAAATTTGTTAAGGATTGAGCTATTCACGCTAATAACGACTTTTGCGAACGAATTTTGGCAAATAAATTATATGACACTATCTGGACTTTGGCGAGTGTATTGTTTATATTTGCGTTTTTAAGTTTTACAAGACGATTTTTATGTATTTAATGGATATTGAAAAACAACCTGTGCTTGTACTTTTGTTTAAGAAATATTTGAGGGATTTATGAAGGTCTAGGCTGAAACGTCAACCATGTTTATTTCCAACTCCAAAGAAAATATACTTTTCGTTTATTGCTAATGCACTGAACAAAGCATTCACCGAGCCGAACTCAAATAACTCAAATTTTCATTTCATTGAACCCGAAGAGTTACATTTTTTTTTACAGTGAACCAAAACTAAATATCTCAAGTTATATTTCACCGAATCTAAAACAGCTTTTGTTTTTATTAAACAAATTAAAAACAAACCAGATATGTCATTATATTCAAGGACATGGTAAGTTAGCTCCATCAGTGACATCGATAATCAAATGACGATGAACATCATACGTGTTTAGTTCAGTTCTTTCATTGCGCTTGTCACATTTGATTTCTTAAAACTGTATGAAAGAAACCTAATAAAACCTACATCAGCTTCAAAAATTCAAGCTTAGAGTTTGTTTGTTTCGTGATTTTCGCGCAAAGCTACACACGACTGTCTGCGCATAGCCATTCTTAATTTTGAGCTGATAGACTATAGTTAAGAAACTAGTTACAGCATCAACAGCCAGCTCTTGGGCTATTCGTATTTAACAAAATAGTGACTTTGAAGCTTGAATCTTATAATGCATTCATAGTCCTAAAGTGCGGAGCGAGTTTTTTGTGGCGATGAGTCGCAAACCATGAATCCTCAGGTCACATTCGAGGCAGGTTAGCTACTAGGCTACAACTGGTCTCGAATGAAACAATCATGTTCGTATTTCTACATTCGTGTATTTTGGTTTTACTTCGGAAATTATAAAATGTATCTTTACTCTTTATTAATCAATACACCACTGACAATGCAGCAGCAAGTTTAAATAAAAGAATAAATACATAATAATAAATACATTCTAGTCTTACGTAATTTCCTAAGTATTTAACCTATTCAGGTTTGATCCTTGTTATACAAATTATTAAATTATTACCGTGATTATTTTACTTTTTGCTTTCTGATATTAGAAAGATCGTTCATATTAATGTATTTTTCACATTCTCATCATATGTTGATACTAATTTTCACTTTATCAGAGTTTCCGTCTTTTATTGAATCATTTTCTTCTTTCATATAGCTTTATCTTTCAACCAGATCAATATATCAAACTCATACTATATAAAATATGTATTTAATTGATAATACTTTTGAGATCCTTTTAAGTCATGGTCAGGTGGTTAGTGATCTCGACTCGCAAATCCCCGTCCCACGAAACATGCTTGCCCTTTCAGCTGTGGAGCCGTTATAATGTGTTGGTCAATCCCACTATTCGTTGGTAAAAGAGTAGCCCAAG